CCAGCTTGGATGCGAACGTGAAATTAAATTTGCGGAACAATGTTATCGCGACGCATGAAAAAGGAGTGGGTGAGCCCCTGATTTTGTAAATCCTACATATTTTGTGGTAGAGTTCGATTTTACCCTCTGCTAGCCTGGTGATTCGACTAACGTCTACCTGCATATTATCCACTCTGCCGTGTCCATTACGGAGCCTAAGTAAACTTGTAGTTTTTTTGAATTTCATGTTTAAATAATTTTCTTCAATTTTTTTGTAATCAATTTTAAACAAGACGGAGACCGAGCATAACTCAAATCTTTGAAAAAATGTTAAAAACTTGTAGTGAATTGGGTCAAATTTAACATTCGGTTGGCATCTCAGAAATCGTTCAAATTGACAGGTTTTACTTCGCAGAGAAAATAGTGAAAATTAGACAATTATGTATGTCTTTATTCCGACTTTATTCTACCTCCCGAGGTGAACCATTTCTTATAAAATGACAATGTTGTCGCTATGAATTAAGGTATACGTTGACTTATAACTTAATTTATAAGTTATAAATCATAGAAACGCCATCTGTCGACGTATATATATAATTATAAGTTAAGTTATAAGTCATAATTATAAGTTATAAGTTGCATGTCCATGGCTGCCCCATGTATCTAATAATTAAAGATAATTTTAGTGGACCGAGAAGCCGAACTTTACCAAGAAGTCTCTCCAGTCTTAATTGATCAAGAAGGCACCCCCACAATACGTAGTCTTGGAGGAGCCATATCTTAAGATAAGTTTCGCTTTGGATTCCCAATCTGTTCTCAAATATATTACATTTGGTTTCAAAAAATAAGCTTTAAGTTATAAATTAAAACTTTTAATATGTGTGTTCTCATATTTATAGTAATTAGCTCCTTATCGTCTGCATCGTCAACTTCGTCTTGTTCCAGTTCCAGCCAAGGGGAAAATTCCTTCAAACAGGCGAAAAGAGTTAGCAATTATCTGTAACTATTTGGTTAACTAATAAACCGTTGTAACGGTAGAAGTAGCTCACCCTGTAATAATCATTTTGGTATAATTTTATACCAATGATACAGAATATGCGGAGAAAATGAATACGCAATTTTGGCAAAATTTTACATTAATGGTGCAGAATATGCGGAACAAAGATATATGTAATTGGGATATAATTTTGCACCAATGGTGCAAAATACACCAGGGAAGAGAAACCCTGATTTTGACATCAAACCTTAAAAAATTTGACGTCAAAATCATAGGTGTTTCTGACGGTTCTTCTGCACTTTTGGTGCGTTTAGCATCTATTTTCTCAATTGTTTCGCACCATTTTGAGTCTCCGATTATTCGATATCAGTGGTGCTAATAAGTCGGTCAGGAATGCCAATAACTGGCTCTAATTAGCATGAATTGATGCAAAAGAGTCGTTAACAGACAGGCAGACAGACAGACAGACAGACGGACAGACAAGAGGAATTCAATAGCTCCTCTGCTACGCAGGGTGAGCTAATAAATGCTGGAAAGTTTGGTAGGAGCCCCAAGATGCCAAGGATTCCATGGTACTGCCCGAGGAAGGAGGACAAAATCCACGCCCAAGATGAAGGTTGAAATTTCCTTTTTCTTCGTTCCACCATTTTTAAATGTATTTATTCCTAGAACAGTGACGATGAGTGTGGCACACGTTCCTGCTGAGGCCCACGTGTAATGCTCAAGAGGCATAACTAAACCACTTAAGCCTTCGAATGTAGGTTTTTCATAAGATACTGTTGCCATTTTTATCCCATATTTTCGTCCACAGTGTGGCAGCCATGAATGGGTTGCAGAAGTAGGATATAAATACATGTTTTCAATTATATACATCGTTGCAGGAATGTCGTAGGCAACTAAAAAATAAAACTTGTACGTATCCTGCCTATTCATCACCTACTTATCTATGAAATCCCATTTTGATATGAAGACGTAAGTAAAACAAGTGGATGCATTATTAACAACCTTTCTTGAATTATTAACGACTTTTTGAAATATCTAAATTTCGAGTAAATTAATAAAATTTCGCTTTGTTTACAAAATTCTGAATCAAATAGTATGCATAACGGATTCATTTTAAAATTAATAATTATTTACATAATTCCGATTTAGTTTCAATTTATTTGTCGAATCCGTTGTATCATAAAAATTGATATCAGCTAGATTAGTTATATTCGAGCTCGCTCAAGCGGTACCTTCCTATATTTTTTCTCGAATTTGTCACGAGGGTATCTAAATTCAAGGCAGTGGCCAAATGTTATTTCATAGGACTTATGACTTATTAACAACGTCTCGAGTTGTTAATAAAATTTTGAATTGCACTATACGTTAATAACATTTAATAAATTCCATATTTCGATCGTGTACTAATTAATACGCGAAATGCAATTATTTTTCAAAATCCTGCAAATTGGAAAATTGGGTCCCAAATTCAAGGCAGTGGCCAAATTCTGGTCCAAAATAATTTTATAAATTATTTCCACCGATATTTGGCCGTATTTGAGTGAAAAATCAAATTTCTCAAAATTCGCAAAAAATTCACACATATGGGCTTTTATCTCGAAAACTGTCTTCGGGCCCCCCCAATTTTATTACGGATTCTAAATGTACACAAAATTACGCAAAGTTTAAGCTATCATACATCAAAATCGTCGGGAGATGAAAAATCGACAAGCAGATGGTATACATAGGTACTAATTAAGTTTGTCCCAGAGTGCAAGCTGAGCACAAGCAAACTTCCCAGAAAATGTTTTTGGGCCTAGTTTTATGGCGCTGCATGTGTCTTTTCCCTGTTGAAAGGTCAAGTTCACCTGTGAGTCTATTTGTAGACCCTGCAACTCGGAATTTTGTTTCTTCCACGATGTATCAAAAAAATTTTGATGGTCGCCTCGTGATGGGTTTAGCTCTGCCAAAGAATGTAATCTGCAGGGGAGGCAAACTACATAAATTTGAATACGTTCAGTACGGTTCCATCGACTCTGCAGTACAAACAATTTTGACGTGGATGAGGAAAGTGGAGAAACCCTGAAGGTTTCCCTGTTGATTGGTATGCTTAAAACCAGAAATATATAGCTTGGATTTTCCCCGCAGTAACTTAATCTTTCCCGTATTTCGATTAACTTTACCTGGTCAGAATCCGTTTCCGTTTTATGAAGAAATATAATTGAAATATGAGTGGTAGTGTGTCCAAACGATTTCGATACTATGTATTCATTATGTTCGCAAGATCGAGAATATCGATTGCTACTAATGCTAATTGATACTATTGGATGCAAGATTTTGCGAAATTTCGTACTTTGCAGGAAAAAATTGAATAGTTCGCCTTCCCAAGATTGTTGATTCTCTACGCTAAAGTCACTCAATATATGTAGGGTCGACCTCGAAGGTGCTATACTTTCTATTTGTTCTAAAGATAAGCTAGAGGCTAATCCTACAGAAAATATTGGTAGTACAACGTAAGTACAAATTAGGTTTTGAATATTGCAACGTGTCATCTTTTTATAGGAAAATGGAAATTATCTTTGAGATTAATTAGAAACAAATAACGGTTGCCTGAAATGGAATGAAACATCCAGTTTTTAGTAGTGAGCATTAGGCGGCCCTTATATATATTAGGAAGAAACTAATATTTTTAAATTACATATACTGGAATTATTGATGAAATCCATATTCTACTTTTTCTCAAATGAACACTTATCCATATTAATTTTAAAAGTCTAACCTAAATAAAATTTGCATGACATCCATATTTTTCAAACTTCTAAATGAAATTGCAAATGGCAATATATATATTTTTGCACGCATTGGCTAAATCAGTTAATGGTTTCTGCTTCGTTTTAATAAATAAGGACTAGCCAAGGGCAGGCACGTGGATAAGATATAAGCGTTTTCGAATTACTACGACCCCATGCACCAGGTCACTGCAATTTCAGGGCGAAGTCTAACAACGCCCTCAGGGTTTGCACATGGTCTCCAATGTTGACTTTAAAATCAAATCATGGCATGCGACATATCATTTCCTTCAGGCTGAAAAGGGATTATCAACGGTAAATACAAATTTGACAATTCTTCAATTTCAAACTCAATTCTTCAATTCAATTCAATCAATTCTTCAATACTTCAATTTCCACCAAACCATTGCATGCGAAATATTATTTAGATCAGACTAGAGCACACCACTTAATTATGCATTTTATTTTGAAAACCAATGACACCCCCAGTAGGTGTCGCCTGATATAATTGTAGTAAAATTTGTTTGCGAAATAAATTTTGAAAATAACCACGCCCCCTGTGGGGGTGCCCCAATATAATTTTATAACAACACCCCAGTAGGTGCGTCCCAATAGAATCGAATTTCAGACAAATTATGGCACGCGACATATCATTTTCTTCAGGCTAACGCAGTCTTGTAAACAATAAATCAAGTTTCGAAAATAAACACACCCCCAGTGGGTGTGCCGCAATATAATTGAATGCCAACCCAGTCATGGCATGCGACATATCACTTTGTTCAGGCCGAAAAGAAACTTCAAGCCGTAGTCAAAATTTTTTCGCAGCTATGGTCAACATGCTGACACAAACGCAAACTCAGTAATCATAGATACTTTTACATAGTATTTTATGGAAATGATATTTTACTTAAATTTTGCGGTATTCTGTACATCATAGAACCCCGCAGACCCCCTACCCAATAAACGTAAGGCGTTCGTACATACGTCAGTCAAGAGCTCGCTAAGTATGTTCATGGTAAACCGCAACCGCAAACTCTGTTAGGTTACGTTATGGGCAAATCATTTTTCATAAAATATGTTGTCAACAACTAGGTGTAAAAACGGCGTATGCAAGTTTAACTTACGTCAAGGAGAAAGAAATAATAATTGAATAGGGAATAATTGAAATTGAATAAACAAACCTGTTCCAGCCAGATTTTTCTCTGTTAGAGCTTCGTTAATAAAATCAACCGTATTGGGAGCAAAATGGGTTAATCCTAATTCCGAGGTTGAATTTTGAACACGTATGGACATATTTTTAGACACGATAACTTCAGTATCTGAAATGGCTCGTAGTTTCCTTCTGGTTGGAATGATTGCTACTTTGCTAGTGTCTGGAACTAATGTAAGATTTCAAATTAACTTAAAGGTCGCGTATGTAAGACATTGAAACATACTTGTGAATTGAAGGCTTGGCACTGTATTGGACCACAACTGTACTGCAATACGATTGAAATCTGGAGTAGAGTGTGTCCATCTAGGAATCCATGCTGTACGTGAGCAAGTTTGAATCTTACTTTTGTCCCTGATGTCATGAAAATCAGGGTTCGCTTCGTTTCTACCAAATTATGCGCCATGTCAAAAAAATTCCCAAAAACGAAAGAACGGTTAATCATATTCATGGTTGTTACAGCTTTTGTTTTTCTAATCACTTATGTTTTTGTTCTTTTTCACAACACAATCGAAGTATATAAACGATTTCCTTGCAAAAAACTGCACAAAAAGCAAAAAACAAGCCGAATTCTTGATTCGTATAACCAGTGTTCTGTTTACGTTTCTGCTAACAGAAATTACTTTAGACCACTGGCCGACTGAAAGTGGTTAAAAATATGCCACTTACGATTATTGACGTATATTTTTGACCACTTCTAGCCAACACAGTCTGAATTTCAGCCGGCCAAAATGCCTTGTTAAAACCGGCCTTGACTGTAACAATAAAAGCCATCCCGAACACTATGTACAACAAGAAGATGCGACACGTTAAACATCGTGAACCTAATCACACTTAGGTTTTCATTTTATAAAATTTTTAGAACCCAATACAATCTCATCGTCCAGCCAAAAGTGATACATGCAGAGTAAAACTATTTATACTGCCATTATCTTCCCCGTGTTTTCTATTTTCCGATAATGCGCGAATTTTTAGCGCGAGGCGGGAATTTCAAACTTTTTTCAGCCAAAATCTCGCATCCTAAATCCACAGAACTTTTTTTAAATTTAGGCGCGAATTAAATAATTAAAAAAAAACATATATACTCAAAATACGTGTGCTTTATAGCTGTTCCTTCCACCACCCTGGCTGCCGTAAGCACAACGCCGGTTTCGACTACCACCACCACAACAACTACGACAACGACAACCCCTCCTCGCGTCTGTCCTACCGTTGAGTGCTGCAATTTCCAGTGTAAGAACAATGCCTTTTGTGGAACGGCAGTTCAGCAAACAGATGTTCCCACGTGTGACGATGGAGGTGCACCTGAGATGTGTAAGGACCCTCAGACCGCATTCTCCGACAAGTGTCTGGACCTGGGATGTAATGATTTGAGTTGTGCACAATCATTGTGCACTGTAACGGGAAAGTACAGTCTGTGTCCGGCTTGGAACTAAAAAGCTTTGTGCAATTATTCGTGTAAACCCTTGAAAATTGGTGGGTTTTTCAGAATCCAAAATTATTGTTAATAATTATATCGCTTCAACCCAAGTAGTAAACATGATTCGACATTCTTTTCTGCAAGTATTTATTTTGTGGTTAAGGCACATATTTTTTGAGAATACCGTTCCCCACACCACAATACCGTTCCTCTGGTTTGGTGGCCGTGCGAGGGTAAAAAATGACTCGTACTTTCATGAACTAATGACAAGGGCAGAACAAAACTTATGAAATCAACACCGACAGTCCACAGCCTACGTCTCCAGTAGGGTTTCGCTTCGACAATACCACCCTGGACGGGACACTGTCCAAAAGTGGTTTTCAACACCAAAATTAGGTGACTGAGGTGTCCAAAAGTGAAAAATGGGGCAAACTGCCACAACTTATATTACCCCACAGGAGATTTTGGACACTGGTCATTTCCAAAATAGTTTTGGACGTCAAACGAAACACTGGTCCCCAGTAGCGAGTACATGAACACAATTTTCCTCCCCTCTATAATCAAAAAACACAGTCTCTCTCCTTCCCTGAAACCTGGGAGTTCTTTTACTTGGACGATTTGAGAATAAACGGCATATTCTATATTGTAAAAATGTTATTCATGAGCTAGAACTTTAGAATTTATTATATGTAGATAAATTAGATATTCGAATTGTCCAAATTTGAAATTATGATAATATTTACTGGGTTGGTTTGATATGTATTTGCGGAGGTCGTATTTAGGTACACAGAAAAATGTGCACAGCGTAATCTTTAATTATACTAGACGAAAAGCAGAATTAAAGACTTGAAATTTTGTGCCATAAACATCATTTAAAGTATTTGAGAAATTAGAAGTCTGGAATCGCGAACATTTTCACTTGACTAACATTTACAAATGTACTACTTGTAAAGCAGGCAAGAGGCCGGTAGGTAGTGTTCGTGGCATTCTTAGTGTTGCGGAAGAATGAGCATAATTAAGAACTTAGTAGTTTAATTTTATATTTGTTTGATTTGTCTAGATAAGTATTGTAATACGTTTAAATCTATAGTTTAAATTTAATTGTTAATTGTATTCAACGGTATAAGTCAATGGTATAATTCAACGGAATATGTAATTTTGTTGAAAACCGTTGAATGCCGTTGAAGATGGGTTAGACGACGTCCGACCTGGGTTCGAGGGCACCAGACCTCCAGTAGTATATAAGTAGATGCACGAGTCGCATCAGATCATTAGTGACTTCGACACGGTGCGAGTAACATCTCCCCAATAACCTTGTTAGCATATAGTAGTCCATTGTATTGAATAAATCTCAACATTATTAGTGAATTTAGCCTGTCTTTGCAGTCAACGGCATTTATTTAACAAAGTACTTGCAGTAGTCATTAAGCAAGATAGGAATCACTAATAGTCAATAGAGCGGTTAAACCTGATAGGTCATTCCGTTGAAGAGAATAGGGCATTCCGTTGACAAGTTTAAGTCGAAGTTTGCATTGATCCGTAGCCTTACAACCTACGAATAACCAATGAGCCAGAATAGTGAGTTAGTATTTTAGCCGCGGATAACTACTTAGTATAGAAGCAGTGTTCGCCGCGACACTTAGTGCAGGTGCACCAAAATATTGGATCCAAAAATTGGATGCCAAGTTAGCACCCACTTTTCTGTGTATATTTATGAAGTTGGCGTCGTGAAGTTAGCCCAACGTGGTATCAATTCTCAATGGTTCGGATTGGAACTCGAAATGGGTGTAACTAATCTTCCAGGGGGTATGTCCGGACTAACCTCACCCCCTAAAGGGGCAACGTGAGATTCCATTAAGATATGATGGTATATTCAAGTGACAAGTTTCGGTTACTTTGTGGGTGTGCCCCCACCCGACCTCGGTACACGTACATATTTTGACGTATCCTAAATATACCTAATATTGTTAAAATTTCGTCAGAAAAAGGCCAATATTTACCTAGTAGATAAATAGATACATGTAATTATCGATATGTGGCGGGCGGCCCTACATTTTTCTTGCACGTCGCAGAAGAGATTTAGCACGGTGCAGAACATCACCAAAGCGAGCCTTCCGTCGCAATTGACGGAAGGCTCGCTTTGGTGATGAGCCGAGTCCATTGTTTACCATTGGAAAAAAGTGATTTTAATGCCATACTTTAGCTTTAGATTTTCTAGTTATGGATTTTTTGTACAAAAAAATAGGCAGTCACTGACAATTTTGATACCATCAAAATGTAAGACCAGTTCACACTTACAGCAAAGCAGCCAGCGACTAGAAATACCACCATGGGGGTAAACACGAAGATATTGTCAACCTTAAAATTTTGTGGAAATCAACGTTTAAGTAATTATAGAAGTCATAATCAGTCTAAATACTGTCTGTCGAATTGTTTCCAGCTTTTAATTTTGATCACCCTGTGCCACAGGGTGGTCCGATCCTAAAACCCTATTATTTTGAAAATCACCGTGGTTAATACATATTATCAGACACAAAGTTTTTGTAAAAATCGCGACATAATTTGTGCACGTCCTCATTCTATCCTTGCATATAAGTAAGTGTCCCAGTTCATGAAAAAATTTCTTGAAAATATTAATTTACTCGGTTTTGTCCTTTTCTATAAAAATATCTGTCTTTACTTTGGGACGTTCTGCTGACATAAGGAATTTATCTCTCCGCCTGACCTATTCTGACTGACCATATCTGTTCCTTGGCAAAATAGGCTGAGGACTTGCAAAGTTGGCATCAGGGTGCTTAGGAAGCAAGACATCAAAAAATTTCAAACTTCTCCATAATTTTCATAATATAATAAGAAAACGCTTTTTCCCCTCAAAATTTTTCGATATCTCTCGCCTAAGACCTGTTATTAAAAGGTGGTGGGGGGGTGGACCAGCTGCGGCCTAGGTCTCAGAAAGCCCCATATTTTGCAACCCAAGTTGTTTCGGGGCCCTCTGAGACATAGGCGGCAGCTGGTCCCCCCCTCCCCCCCGTTTTCATAACAGGTCATAGGCGAGAGATATTGGTTTTGGAGTGGTTAAAACCATATTTGCCCGAGTGAAAAAAAAACAGTTTTAACCACTTTTGTCAGGGAAAAATTGCGATTTAGTGGTCAAAATAGACCGCTTTTGTCCGCCGTCCTTTTGATGTCGTGCTTGCCAAGCACCCCGATGCCACGAGTCCCTTGTCTACATATTTGAAACAGATATGGTAAGTGGCCCGTTTATGAATTCGACCTTACTCTCGACCTCGAGAATCAATAATTCGGAAATTGGAATCGTTCATTGGAACAAAATTGAGTAAAAAAGAGGATGACACAACAGTCGAGGTAAAATTTGTCCAAAATTGAGTAAAATTTGCCCAACGTTGTGCGAACAAGGTGCATCATCATCATAATTTTACTCAATGTTGGACAAATTTTACCTCGACTGTTGTGTCATCCTCTTTTTTACTCAAGGTTGGGCAAATTTAGTACAACTTTTTTTAGAGTGTACACAATTGCCATTAAGGCATTTCGCCCGTTAGTAATTGTTACGGGATTATGAAAATTAGGGAGAAACCTTCATCGTTGTAAAATTCCGGGGAGAAGGGTTCGACTCTTTTTCTTCTCCTTTTTTTAGTGAAGAGCAACGAAGCACTAAGCGAAAAAAGTGGATATACAGCGTTCAAAAGTTCAACACCCCGAGTGTGTGAGCATTCAGTGGGTAAAACTGGTTTGCAGATGACAAGTTTTATGGACAAACTTGTCCATAAAATAAAAACTATGCATATTCGAGCGTGATTGCTTGATGGGGTATGTTAGCGGAGACTGTCTGCATCTGTGTGCGTGTTAAACCGTTTAAAACCTGGAGATAAACCAGGGGTGAAACGATACGTACTGTCACGCGCTCTACAGTCAGACTCCAAAGTCGACGTCAACTATTAATGGCGTTGCCAAAGGTCAAGACTAGGTCGCTGGCAAATTATTGAAAACTCTAATTAGAAATTACACTTACATACTTGTGCGAGATAGATAGTTCAAATTATAAAATTAAAATCGCATAGCATTTTTTGAAGAAATTAGAATTACGCATGGAAAAGTATGTGCATCAAATTTATTTTAATTCCAAATACGGTGGAGAATTTTACTACGCATAAATTACTCCAATTGCTTAATCGTAAAGTTGCATATGTACTTGTTGAACCCCTCCATTAAAATTACAAATTATCCATTACATAAGTTTGTGAAGTAATTACTAATATAAAATTTTTAACTTAATTGGTAATTTTGCCAGGTGTGCTAAATATCATGCAAAAACAGGCCAACAGATACTCGCACGATCCCAACACAGAATGCGTTGGACGGAGGGCAAGACAGAGATGAGACGAGTTTATGGATTTACTGCTGGAATCGGTTAACTTTTATAGTTTTCTTGACTTGGAATTAATCGTAAATTCCTGCAGTCGTTGTTTGCGATTTGTTGAGTGTATCCAATCAGATGCAATTTTTGCCTTAACATGAATACGAATGCATAAGTTAACCTCTTGGGTACCAATTACACACATTTGTGAAAAGATATATGCATATTCCGCTGTGTATCAATTACACACAAGTCCAGTCAAGTCAAGACATCCTTTATTCATGTGTAAACGGATATCATTTTACAAAACCTGGTCTGAAAATCATGACACAATAATAAATATAACTATATTAATCTATATTACCCTAATATATATCATTAATTAATCTATATTATAATTTCGAAAAGTCCGTCCCGTTAAATTTTCCGTGACATTCCCGCATTCTGATTGGCTGCTGGCTTTCCGGGTCCGCCAATCAGAACACGCATGCGATTTTTCATTATAATTATGGTTACGGTTATGATTATAGTAATAGTTATGGTTATGATTATGGTTATAGTTATGGTTATGGTTATGATTATGATTATGATTATGATCAAGGTCCTGAAATTTTTACTTAGTTACGTGTCTACATAAGGTCAGCTCATTTGATGGTAAATTTTGTGACCGAGAGCACGGGACGAGTTTGGGATTATTTTTGGATAAAAATACGTTGTTACGCGAAGTTAAGGCAATTTTTAATGTAAATTTATAAAATAATGATGATT